TAACAGCGTATCGGGAGATCTACACGTGTGACAGGTCACATATTCCTCTGAAAATACAAAGAAAAAAATTCACAATAAAACCCCAACACAAAATAAAATGTTTGAGCTATGCCTATACAAATATGTAATTTCCCAGCCCCCCCCCCCCCCCCATAAATTCCAGGGGCAAAATATTCCATTAAAACATATTTTCATATCATTTTCTGAACCTTTCCCAGAATACCAGTCAATTTCATTTCTTACTTTCATTCATAAATTGTGTAGCTAAACAGATTTCTACATGAACCTTCAAATTTTGTCAAGCACATTTAATAACGATAACCATGCCAGTTTGAGGCCCTGTGCATATTATTGAATTTCATTTTTTTTCCATAATTAATTCAATTCAAATGTTGTAAACAAAACTGTTTAAATTTCATTTTATGATACCACAACTGTGGTTCATGAACTTACCAATGAAACTGTTAAGCTGTAAAACAAGGTGTCCCCCCCCCCCCCCCCAATTCAACTTCCTTAAAGACATACAACATTATCACCCTGGAACATTTTTATTTAGTTTTCAGATATCTGAAAAAAAAGTTTCCCAAATGCTTACTTATGTATCTCCTGAGTACGTTTTCTATCTGTTTCTGTTGAAATCTTCCTTTGATAATCAGTTGGTTTGTACCATCTAAGGAGCCACTGCAAAAAAAATAACATCAATAAAAATTAATAAATATCAGGAAAAAGACTCTCCTCATTTCTGGAGCAGATATTTGTATGTTTCAGAGATGAGACTGCTATTTAGTGAGAAAGTCCAAACACATGGAGTGTGGTCCAGGGGGTCCCTTGCACCAATTCCAAAAAATGATATTTTTGACTCCAAAAATGTCAGAAATCCACTGATAATCTGAAAAATGTCACTACTGGTGATTACAGTCAACTTAGATTTAAACATCAGTTGTCAGCAGTGAATATAATGAAACCTTCATTCTTGGTTGAAAAATATGGATATATAGTTTCACTTCTTTGCTGCTATTCCACAATGAAATGGAGCTAATCCATAACCCGACAATCTACATCAACATACACTATCAAGAATTAGGAAAGGAAAAGAGAATACCAACAAAGGAGAAAAGTTCTACCCATCCCATATCCTACACTTTTTGAGCATTTTTTTTTTTTACAGAAACCTTCAACTATTAAATAAGAATCTTTTCCACTTTAAAATGATATGATTCAAATGCCATATTTACCTCGTTCCCAACTCTGCCAGGAGGAAGGCAAGTAAATGTTTGGGCTGTCTATGTAACCTGCAAATAGGAACATTTATAAATGTCTGAGCAGCAAATTCCATCAAGCTTCCAAGCAGTTAGCCTTTTGACTTGCACCAAGAATATTATTTTGAGCACTTACAATTCCTTCTTTCTGAAATTTTTACAATCAAAACAATGCTATGGTTTAATGCTTCTTGATATTTCTTCAGCATGCAGTTTCTGTTTGTCTATCAAAATTGTTTAAATTTGATGTCATTTCTAAAAATCCTGCAGATAAAACACAAGGACTGGCATTGAGCAAAGACTTACATTTTACAAATATCTGCGAAATTGGAAAAAGAGCTTTTCTTGGTGCCAACCCTCATGACCTGTGGGGGCTTCATCACAATTTTCTTTTTTTCTCCGGCCACCATGTCAGGGTTCTTCTCTCTCATGATGTCAAACACTCGTGTGAGAAGCTGGAATACATATCAAAATTTAGTGAGAGGCAAATATTTAAATTGAGTGTGGTTTCAGAAAAAAAAAAAAAGAACTCATATTCTCTTATAATGATATGTAGCCTATTTATCATTCCAATATGAAGTTAATTTCCAAACTGATAAGAATAATGAGCTTAATGTGTTAAATATTTTAACAGGTTCAGTTTCAAACATCAAAATTTTGAAACACCAGAACAAACTGAGATAAAGAAAATAAATCTAACATGCTAAACGTCATGCATTTTATAGGATAGCCTTTCTTTAAAACTTACAAACTGTTTGAAATTGAACGAAAAATAAGACAGTTCTTTCAAATTACTGACAGTATTTTCAGGAGATATTAAAGCAATACTTTTTGAACTACTATACCTCATCATATGTGTAATCTCTTTCTGAATCCAACCAAGTCTGTGAGCTTGAACTGGACACTGTCTTAGCTGGAAGACGAAAAGAGATGATCTGATCAATCCACATCAAAAATTCTGAAATTTTCCTCCACTGTTATAATTCAAATAACCCCCAAAATAATCACTTCAGCAGAGATTTTGCTAGTTACACTTTGACTACCCTTTGAAAACCTTTCTTAGCTTAACCAGAAATAGTTGTTAGAAAAATGGCAGGAAAAAATTATTTATATCCGTATATCAGTCTCATTATGCATTTTACAATTTTCCATCCACAAGTCTTTCCGACCAGCAGATCTAAAAAAGCAGACTGCCCAAATTGAAAGTACAACAATGAACTCTATAGACAACTAACAATATAATCTAAAATAGCCAATTAAAAAATCCACTAGTTAGATTGGGTAAGTAGTTACTAGTCAAGCTAATTACTGCGGCTATTGCTACAGATTGCTGAACTGACCACTGTCTTCTCCAGCGTCCACTGTGTCCTCTGAACCAAGGTCATCCATGTTGATCTTGACCTTCTTCTTTTTTTTCTTCTTTGTGCTAAGAAGGTCAAAGTCATCCCCAAAGTCATCATTGTCTGCCAAGTTTGAACTCTCCTGTTTACTTCCATCCTCGTCTTTGTCTTCATTTTCCTAAATATGAGGGAAAAAAACATGAATAAGACAAACAGTTGTTAATTCTAAATATTCCACCATCGTGACTCACAGAGACATCATGATACTGCATTACAAATCAGCACACAATGTTATCTTCATGTTCAAAGTTTCAAAGGTCTACGATCTAATGCCAACCCTAATAGTTGCACTGTTTTTACAGTACTTGCATTATTTTCAAAACTTAATATCTCTATTGTTAAACTATTTCAGTAAGGGTCAGCAAAAAAGATGCAAATGGAACTACTGGATTTGAAAACCTCCGATACCTAAACATCATACCCAAAACACAATGAGACAGTAACTGATACAGAAAACTTGTTTTATTTATGTCTTTAGAATAAGCTCGAAATAATAAAATTTAAAAAATAATAGTTGACAGAGTACACAATATAAGCAAATATACTGTTAAAAGTAGACAGAGCCCATCAATGATAAGTTTGAACTTTTTGTACTTTAAAGTGATGATGATGATGATTATGATGAAAATGTTACTGATCTCCTAAAACTTACTGGTAGAGCCTCACTCAACTCATCCATATCTAAAGGTTTCTTCTTCTTTTTCTTCTTCTTTTTCATATTTGTGAAGTCGTCCAAATTCAGATCTGCAAACACAAGAAATACATTTTAAAACAAGCATTCCAACAGCTTATTACAGGATGACATACTTTATTAGTCCAAGAGGGATGATGTAATTGTGAAGAGACTCTCTGAAAGACCCTCTTCCAGATGATTACATCAATTTAATAGTCATAGTAAAATGTAGAACAGTGTCACTCTCAGTTTCTGCCTGTGGGGGGCAATGCAACTTTTTTTTTATTAAAAGCTTATCACAACTTTTGATAGCAATGACATGCATGCATTAGATATAACCTCAATTTGAAACATTTAAGACGTGAGAAAAAATCATCACAATTGGGTGTCACATGTGTTATTTAGTATATGTATAACATATATTAAATACCTTCATCATCTACAGCTTCCTTTTCCTCCGTTTCTTCCTCTTCTTTGGTTTCTTCTTCTGGTGCAGGTTCTGCCGTCTCCCCACTCATGGCAGCCTCCATATCAAATGGAGTCTTCTTCTTTTTCTTCTTCTTCTTCAGAGAAGGGTCAAATATCTGGAAATAGAAAAAAAAGTTTGATGTGATGACATTTCCCAGTTATTAATGAAACCAAGTTACAAATAATGTTGATGGAATGTTAATCAGACCACTCTAATGGGAATGGATCTTAGTAGTCATGTTATTTATAATAGCAAAATTTTTATTATTAGTAAAGGACGAAAGCTATTACAGATTTGCTTTCAATCACCGCATAGAAATTGAATAGTTTTAAAACTTTGCTATCATAACTATCACATGTCCTGCTAGTGGAAACAGACTTGGTTAGAGCAACAAGCTAGCTCTGAAATACTTCTGCCAAGAAAGGATTTGTAACTAATGTAGCTAACAACATTCAGCAATAAACTTTAATTTTAATATTGGTTTTGGAAATAATTATAAACATTTGGCAATTAATGAACAAGTGCCTCAGTCTCCCTCAATTTATTTTAAGTTATTCACAGCAGAATCGGTAGAAGAAAACAGCTGGGACGCAGAAACACGGAACCGCTTCATTTCTAGCAAAAATGACTCGCCTAAGCATCGCAATAACAAAATATTGAATTTATTCGTCACATTAATTAACAAGGAGACATTCAAATAAAAAAATTCATGCAAGGTAGCAATACCGTGAAATTTTTAAAAGGCTTAAACGAAATCCCTGTATGCGTGTAACGTTTCACGTTGTACGTTCATTAATAATGGCAGCTGACATATTGCTGAAATGCGTAGAAAATGAAATCAATCTTACCGCTTCGTCTTCGGCCATTTTGGGCTAAAATTGCGTCAGAACACACCAGAACGGACACTTCTTCGTTTCCTACTCTCGTTTACAGGGAATACGTACTACTAATCGCCAAATTACTGCTAATTCATGACCATTTCTTGCATCAGACTCCTCACATGGAAAGCGACTAGATGCTACGGAGTAAATGAGTTAGTGGCTTGGATTGCACAAAAATAATGCAATGGAGATTACTTGACTTAGATAAATATGTAAATGTTTGTTTGTTAATGGTATTAATTATACATAATTATGGTTTGTTTCTTTGTTTTGGATGCACAATTTATGTAAAAATAAAATATATACAGTTACATGACTTGGGCTTGTCTTGATCGTAATTTCTGGGAACTTTAAAATGGCTGACAACGCTGAAGATCTTGGCGACGTTCCTTTAATTGGAGAGCACTGTGAATTCCCGTCCTGTGGTCAATTAGGTTAGTTTGTGTTGTAGTGCTGCGTGTCGAGGGGACGTTGGCCTGTTGAACTTTTTCTGTTATAATGTTCATGCTTCAGGGTAAAATTACTTTCATTTTGCTGCAACTCCCAGTTCAACGACAACGTGCTCAAAACTAGCAGTAGCACGTGACGATAACAACACGTGTTGGTATCCCACTCAAAACTTCCGACTGTTCGCGGTTACACACTCATAACAGAATTAGGAGAAATAAGTTGAATTTTACGAAGTCATATTTTTTATTGCTCTCCCATTTCTCACGAAATTTAATAACCTTTCACTTCCAGATTTCCTGTCATTTGAATGCACTAGCTGTTCCAAGAAGTTTTGGTATGCCAGTTTTTCCACAGTTATTTAAAGACTCAATAATAAAAAAAATGTAGATGCATCCATTTTTCTAAAACGTATTCTGTAAAGAATAAGTTAACATTATCATTATTGTGTAAGCAGTTAAATAACAACCAGGTAGCAACACATACTGCAGTAGTTTGATATCTTTTATTAGTAGTAGTATTATTTGTATCTTCTCAGACAGAAATAGTGAAAAAGAATTATAGGGATATGTAGAATATAAGAACTTACTACTCATGAAGAAAATGAAACATGGTTTGATCTTCCATATTATTATTAAGTATTAGAAGATTTTTTTATTTTATTTTTTGCCTGTGGTAACAGAAAATGTGTGGCATTTTCCATTTTAATTGTATTTTTAGTAAGAACCATAAATCAGAAGATGCACATTCATGTACAAAGGTAAGTGACATATTGGCTATTATATGTGGCTTATTTGTAACCACTGCTGGTGTGAATTTTCAGAAAGTAATGGTAATGTAGGTTATTTTTAGAAAAAAACATTGTGCCTACTTTTTCATAACATCAGTGATAAACCTGACCAAATGTGACAAACTTGTGACTAAATTCCAAATCACTTAATATGCATTCTATAATACTTTTATATGCCACAGTTTAAGTTTTCATGGTCCTGTCAAGTAGGACATTTGAAGATATTTAAACAAAAAACAAAAAAAGATACAATTGTCACAGCATACAGGGTGGTGCAATTATTAATCTTTAGCAACTTTACCTTTGCTGTCTTTTCTCTAATGTTACTTCAGTAAAAAGTGCACAAATAAGTGCAATTTTCTCAGGTCAATCTTTTTTCCAGTACTAATCTTTGACAGTTGATGAAAAGTGTTTTTTGAATTGCCTAGTGTGGCCTGGTTTATTTGGCTTATTGCAACTCAGTGTTTCCCCTGGCTTTCAAGCTCTGCGAGGTGGTAGGCAGTCCAGCAATACTAGGGGGGTCCGGGGGCATGCCGCCCCGGAAAATTTTTTAAATCGAGGTGCAATTTGGTGCATTTTAGGGTATTTAGAACTGATTTTTTTTACATTTTATGTGGCACTGAATTGTCTTGTTTTGTCTTTGAGGAGTAAATTCAGTAATGACATAACAAAGGTTTGGACAAAATTTATTTTCCAGTCTGTGCATTCACTCAGTTTAGTCCTTTTCAGTTTATAGAACATACTCTTTCAAAAAAAAAAAAAAAAAGAAAATACTTTCAAAAAAAAAAAAAAGTTAACTACTTTAATACTTACAAGAAACGAGACAAGGGCTTACTGCATTGAATTATTTTTAAATTGACCAAAAAGTTGATAAAATATGTTGTTTTTACCGTTTTCACATTCTTGTGAAAGTAACTGGTCAATTGACTTTGCGTGTGGGAGCGCTTCATCCTAATATAAAACTGCCGCAAAAGTTTTCTCTCTTGTCGTTCAGCGCAAAGCGACTCCCGCTACTAGTTATACGTAGTTTGAGATGTAATTTATAATCAACAACTTCAAACTCCGTTAAATGAATTCTTCGGAATTAAAGAGATGAAAATCACACTTATCATCAATTTCAGTTCTTCGTTTATTCATTTATATGGTTCTATTCAGTCATGGAAATTCATATTCAATGCATAGGTTTCCACGCGAAATACTGACGTGACCCAGTTTTACAATGCTACTGCTTTCACAAAACTCACCCGTAAATCAATAGAAAATCTTCTCCAAGTTTATAAAATCAACGAAGTCCACTTTATTTGCTCCTTTTTTATCAGTGAATATTCGTAAACTATAAAAACAAACAACAGGCGGTCTGAATTTCGGAACATGAAGTGATAGAGAAAGTGTATTCTTGACACGTGATTAAATGGTGTCAAGAACAGTTGCCTCGTTTCGCTCTGTTTCTTATACTTCAAATAAGGCACAGAACTGCGAAAACGAGGCACTCACAGGGAGATAGTAACTGCTGGTTATTTTTAGGCATACGCGCATGCGTCTTTCCGTTACTACTAAATCAAGTGCTCAGAAGCATGGGACTACGTATGTAAACAGAAAATGCCATATTTGCTAAGAAATAAATATAATTTTCAGTTAGCATGAGTGTAAATATACTTTGTTGTTCCATATAGCCCAGCGAGGCGGTGCTTTTGACAAATTTCAGCGAGGCGCTTGCAAATATCAGCGAGGCGGGCGCCTCGCTCATTTAAGTGCAGGGGAAACACTGGCAACTCTTTGTTTTATGTGACATTTTGATTCCTTGCATAAATTTAATTTCAATGTATATATTTCACCATTGAGTAACAATGCGACTCTCACCATGATACTCCTGTTCCAGTGCAATGTCAGTGTGTCTCACCCAGAGTATACTGGCCCTAGAGGTCACCACTGTACTGTCCAAGACTGTACCAATCGGGAGCTGACACCTGTTGTCTGTCCACACTGTCACCTCAACTTCTGTCTAAGGTAAGCAGAGGTCACTGGTAATGAAAAACAGGAAGTATTGTTTGCCAACAGAATTAATACTAGGTTTAGAAGTTTGGTAACATGTTGGACTCAAATAGTCAGTTTTCACAATAGTGTGTCAAGGATTCCCAAGTATTGAGCTAATTGAAATCCTAGTGAAGTTTATCTAACAGCTCTGTCACATAATAATTTAATAATATAGATGTGATAGTGTAGTGACATTCTATAACATAGTCGAGGTACACCATGTGTCAGCAAGCTCTATGTGATACAGGTGTGTGAAAGCACAAGTGGATTTCATACATACCTTGCTGAAACCAAGACAGATTTTAGAAGAAGGACAGTAAGAGAGATTTGTCAGGCAGAATTTTGTCATAGTCTTTAAGATAGAAACAAAAACTTACTGGACTTTAAAAAAAAAAATGGGACACATCCCAGCATGTTGACCAACACAGCGTATCACTTTAGTATTTTTGGGTTCATCTTTCTTTGTAGATCAATGCAACTCTGCGAAAACTCTCACTGAATGAAATCAGATTAACAGATTAACACACCTTGTTTCCCCCATATTTGCATAATCACCAGCTTTTCTGTATTCTACTCAACACCAGGAGGAGGCGTGTTAATCTGATTGTGTTTAGTGAGAGTCCATGTGGAGTTGGATCGATCTACCTAGAACAATAGTTTCATTGGGAATGAACCCTTAAAACAAGTCCAAGCTAAGGCCAAAGTTTTCAGACTTCTTGTCAAGCAAGTCTCGGTGTGTTTCTCCTATGATAAACCCTATTCTATGGGTTGATATTTCAGCCACAGACACCAAGTGGACCATGACTGTCCTGAGCTGAGACCACCATCACCTAAGATGGCCAAGACAGCGGAGCATGTCAAACAGATAGTAGGTAGGGAGACAGAGTCTTTGTAATTTAATCTCCTTACTTTTCTTCCTTCAACATCTTTTTTTTTCAGTTGCATTTGCATTTGTACAAAAGTTGGTGAATTTCTTTTTAATTTCAATCCAAAATTTGCAATATAGTAGTTATGAACCATCTGGTGGGGTTGTCACAAAGAAAGATATGCTTGAAGCAAAAGAGATTAGTATTATTATTATAAGTATTATCATGATCGACTTTTATTCATTTTAAGAGTCACAAAAATCAAAGCCTGTAAAGAAACAAGGGGCAAAGTCCAGGAAGACTGCTGCCAAAGTGGCCCTAATGAAAATGAAGATGAAAGCTGTTGGGGATAAAGGCATCCCAGAGACGGAGAAAGTGTATATACAGGTGCTCCTGCCACAGGGCAATGCAGAGAAAAACTGCCCTATGTATTTTTCAAAGGTGGGGGTTGTTGTGGTTAATGGAGAAATCTTCTGCATAAAATGGCACATGTAAATAATATGTCACTGTTGTAGATAGTTGAAAAGAGCATGTTTTTTGTAGTCATTTTGTGAGGCATATTGTTTGGTCTCAGGTCTGTATAAATTTACATAATGATGTGTACTTATGATTGTACTAATGATGGGGCTTACAAATTTTTATCAGTTTGTATTCTGTTTTTTTATCTAAGATTTATGAATTGTTTCGGAGGGAAAGAGCTTGCTTATGGATTCCACCTGTGTCAGTTTCACAAGCGGGCACCATTTGATCAGGCTCAGTTTTGTGTCTTCTTTTTGCATTGATAATGATTTTGTCATAGCTTATGGACTGGAATTTTCGTTTCAGAAGTGGACAATTGGAAGAATAGTAGACAAAATTGCAGAAATCGCTAAACTGAAAAATGACAATAACGTAGCTGTAGCAAAGGTTGGTGTAAATAAAGACCAACGTCACTGAAATATCAATTTTGGTAGCAATTGTGAACAGAGAATAGGACAGAGGTGGCTTCAGCAAATTATTATTATTTCTTTGGTCACATTGATCCAATACAATTTTGCTTTATTATTATTATTTTTATTATTATTATTATTATTATTATTATTATTATTCCTGCACTCTAAAGACAAGTCTTTCAATTTTTTTTTACTGCATTGCAAAATAATTATCAGTGCATCTATATGTTTCTTATATTAAACATTTTTGAATGTTATACATTGACATCTTTGTCAGAGAATTAAGCTCTCCTGGGTTGGGAGATCACAAAAAAGAGGGAGAAGAAAAATCGGGGCCATGCTGCATGGCTGTTTCGGATGATTGTGGAGGAGTTTTAGGCGCTGTTGTCTTTCCTGGCAGTATTGTTCAATGACACCACTTTGCTTTAGGACCCTTTATGCACTTATTTGTTATCATAATGAAGTGGATTGTAATTCAGGCCTAGGACCGGGACAGTTCAAGGGNATCGGGGCCATGCTGCATGGCTGTTTCGGATGATTGTGGAGGAGTTTTAGGCGCTGTTGTCTTTCCTGGCAGTATTGTTCAATGACACCACTTTGCTTTAGGACCCTTTATGCACTTATTTGTTATCATAATGAAGTGGATTGTAATTCAGGCCTAGGACCGGGACAGTTCAAGGACGTATCGGGGAAACACGATTACGCAAGGATAAAAGATTTACCTCTGAAACACCGAGAGTTACTAGTTCACAACATGCACCTGTGACAGTAGGTTTACATGAGATGTAGTACTGTATGAATATAGAATAAATAATTTTGGAAGCGTTCTAAGCGCTGTTGTTTTTCCTGACAATCTTATTGTAATATATACCTTGGCAGACGTTTCTTAACATGACTATTCAAGTTTGATAACTTGATTCAGTAGGCACAACCATTTTTATGTTACAGAAACTGAGACTGTTTGATGCTGAGGAAGGTGTCATACTGCCCATGGACGCTTCCCTGGACTCACTGATGGCTCCTGGTCATCCTGAACTGACCCCTGGGTTACCCGAGCTGTGCAGTGGGAGCAGCGTCATCATAGAATATGTGGACAATGATTGCAGTAAGTTAGAAGATGTGACACCGTACAGTATGACGTAAGGTTCCGTGGTTGCATGTAGGCTGGAAGATGTGATGTCCTAGCAATAGGGGGATTAAGCTGAAAATGTTTGTTACCTTGGTATTTGAAAATAATACCTTATTATAAGACACAAGTTGGAAAATGTTTTCACCTAGTGGTCAGTGAGTAACAACATGTACTCACATCAATCTGCTTTCCAGCTTGTGTCAAGTACCTGTGATTTACATTACAATACAGGAATTAGATGATAAGACATGATGTCAAGAAGACCTTTGTTTTAGTTGGAGGTCATGACAAGACAAGGCCAAGTACTATAGAAAAAGATGTGATGATGTCAACAAAATCAAACTAAATGTATTTATTTCCACAACCAAGATGTTAGTTTAGATTGCTGTTTTGTATGCTTGTAAAGGATCTTGCTCATGTCACAAAATTCATTTTGAGTTGGGTTTTTAGTGTATATGATTGTCAAATATATACCACCTCTCAGAGTATTCCCTGAACTTTGAAAATTATAGTAATTGTGCAACAGAATATTCCAATTTCTCCCAGACTGTTTCAATCCAGGCAATGACTTTTTCAATTTGTATAAGCAGTTATGGACATGTGTATGTTATCAATATAATAATGTATCAATCCCCACTTCTCCTACAGTGGAAACATCCGGGAGGCAAGTAGAGTTTACAGTTGCTTAAACTGCGCCTCGCTGGCTTCCTTCTTGGGGAGGAGCCCCACAGCCAGCACAAGTCCCATTCTTTTCAGAGCGGGCATCTCTTTGGGGTCTGGCCACGTGTCTGGATTGTAGAACACAGCTGTCCCCCCAGTGAGGGTGAATGGATAGGTGGAGTCTTGTCACTTCTTGAAAGTTCATTTATTAGAAGAATGTGTTCCTTTTTAACAACATATGTGCCAATTGCACCATATGTGGGACACACATTATATTTACCAAAATTACATAAAACACTATTTGTATCTAAAATAAAGTTATAGTTACCTTCTCTCAGACTAAGATTCTACCTAAAATTATCATTGCAACAAAAAGTTAGATGTTGAAGTCTTTGTCGCCTGTCTCTGTCTTTGTCACAGAAATTTGCTTCGGCTTGTGTATAATCAAATTGGGCAAAATATGATCCATTTATTGTTATTTTTATCAGTGCTCCAGTTGCACCTCACGTAATCGATTTCTGGTAATTATCCTGGGGATCATTATTTCCAACACTTTGCCCTTTATGCTGCCTTGTGTTTTGAATTTCGCTCTCCATCTGGGACGTTGTTAATAAAAGACTAGCGTCATCATTAATGCTTTGAGAAATGCACGCAACAATCTCTGACACAGTTCCTGACGAAGTGTAGTGCCCACGCATGTTTTGCAGGGTGCACAAGTCCCCATATAAGTCAAAAGCCAGAATTTTGGAAGCTAAAAAATTTGCAAATTCGAAACTGTTTTGTCAATCCATCGTCACATGCTTTTTAAGTGTTATTAATCACCTTTTTAAAGGTTTCTTTACCTTTATTGTCCTCTGTTGTGGCCTTGTGACTTTTGGAGATTATATGCCTCAGAAGTGAAAAAGGTTGATAATTGGGACGAGAGATCTGGGTGTAGAAAATCTAAGATTCTCTCCATCTTGCAGGGTATCATCTGCAGAAGTTACAGCATGCACACTTTTCCCACTTACATTCTTAAAATTAAAATTTCTAACTCACTTTCATTGTTGTTCTCCATCTTCTTTTCTTCTTTCTCCCACTTATTTCACTTCTTTCTTCTTTCCTTCTTTTCTTCTGTGTTGTAACAAATGGGTAGAATTGATATGAACAGCAATACATAAACAATACTCAACTGTAGAAATGTGCATCAACACAAGCAGGACAGGAACTTTTTATCTAGATAAAGCTTTACATGCCAAACATGCCCAAGGTGGATCAAACCATGAAATTAGACATCAGATTTCTGGACTTCATAGATACACTGTACAACAGTTGATGACGGTTGCCATACTTCCATATCTGTGGTAAGCAGGAGTGTAGTGTCTTTCATCTGTATGTAATGAAAGAAAGTATCATGTATCAGTATCTCATTATTATTAAATTTGTTGTAAAAGTTTATAATTTTTTTATGTCACCAGCTGAGAGACAGCCCTCTTGACCAGATGCATAACCCTCTTCACACCCTTCATTATCGGCCTTGAGTGATATGACTTAGGAGCCCATCGTCGAATTTGACAACAACCTATTTAACTGAAGAAAAAAATATGCATAAATTTAGTTCGTCCACTCGGGCCTTGTCTTCTTCATGTTCTTGAATTGAATCAGCGTGGTCAACAAGAACACTCAGCATACTTGAGTACAAGTCAGATTTTCCTCGTATAATATTCAGCAACGTTGATGTCGAATGTGTTATTCCTGCCCTTGGCCTCGGCTGCAAACTGCGGCATTGAAAGCAGAAAATTGATTTCCTCGTTCTGTGGCCTGGAGCCCATAGCAGCCAATGTAAAACGCCTGTCTTGTCTTCAGAAAACAGACAGTACATGCAGTATGGCCATGTATGGGTGCTGCCATGTTTGTTGTGATGACATCAGCATTTGAGTCTTGAAATAATCACGTGAGAACAAAAGTATAATATTGGATGCTGTTAATTATCTTGGCTCTCCGAAATTCTATCTTGGAATGATATTGTGAGATCTTGAATGAATTTTTGAAGACTTGGCATGAAATTATCCGTCTTGATTTTTTTCCGGTTTGGTGTGCCATACTGGAGGCATAAAGTTAAGAGTAACCTCAGTGTGCATGCCCCTCATAACTCACCAACAAAAATAATATAAAACATATCTGTTTTTGTTTAAGAGTAACCTCAGTGTGCATGCCCCTCATAACTCGCCAACAAAAATAATATGAAACATATCTGTTGTTGTTTTGACCTGAACAAATATCACAATGCACCCTTCTCCCCCAGACCAAATGTCTCAAAAAGTGATGCAAAAAACCAATAACAGCATTTGAACCTTTAGAGCAATTGACACTTTCATTGATCAGATAATTTACCTGTTGAGGCAGTGCCTCACAACAGATAACGTATATGGCACATTTCCTTGGTGTTAAAAAATAAATTGGTCCTGGTTGTGCAGCATTGCTGGGATAATGCACCTGCTGGGCAAAATCGAAAGAATAATGTTTTGTAGAGGATCTCATTTTCCTCTGGTAGTCAGCGTCTTTTAGTCATTTATTTGGTGTCCTTGGGGCAAGTAGTATCTTCTTCACTAACATCACCCTCATCACTCTCTTTGTAATTTTCATCCTGAACAGAATCTGGAAAGGTAAGCACAACTGCAGTACCTATTCCTGCCCTGTCTCTTCCCTATGTGTATAATGCAATGTGCAATGCATACAACATGAAAGAAGAATGTACCCAATGCACAGTATTGGAATCTTAATTGATAAGTTACAGAAAGATTACTTAAGTACGTAAGTCTCAACTTCACCTTGACAGTGAGCTATGGCTACGGTACCGCAGGCACCTACGCTATCACCCATGCAGTAAAAGGGACCTTCAACCTTAGGCTGCTGTAGAGAGCTTGACTGAATCTGTATTGATGGTACCAGTCAAGAGAACCCATTTTTTTCTGATCAAAGATGTGTATTGATGAGATACAATGATAGAAAAAAAAAAGAAAGATTTTTAAAAACCTAACACCTATTCCTGTCACATTTTCCCCTCTACGCTTAGTGCAATGTGCTCTGCATATAACATGGAAAAAGAAATGTACCCAATACACATTATTGGAACTGCAATTAGATGTGCTACAGAACAATTATGACCATTACCGAAGATTGACAAATTCTGATGTAAGACTTTTTCCATAAATATAAAAAGGAATTTATATGGGTCTTTTGGTTCTATAGCCATTTTTGCATTTAAAGTTTTATTTACATAATAAATGCACAGTAACAATATTTTAAGGTCTTCATCCATGTTTTTTTTTTTATATTTTTTGATACCACTGAATAAAGAGGAAATCATTTGCAAAGCCCAAGACATAAATTTTTGATGTTTATGAAAAAAAAAAGTCTAAAAACTGTCTGTGGATCAGGATTCGTCATGGTTCCACACCTGAGGATGTTTATTTATAGTAATTATATTTTATTTCATCAATTTATTTTCAAACTTTTACATTTTGTTCATAGAAATTTATTATTAATTTAAAATGCCCCTGCTGCATATGTTGGTCCTTCTTGGGCCTCCTGCTCAGCTAAACTTCTTTTCTGCTGCTTGCTTTTGGCTTTCCTCTCCTGGCATGCCCGGTGGTCCGCTTGCAGGTTGCTCTTTTTCATGCGCAGCTCATCTGCCCTAGCCAGAGAGGCCATGCAGATTTCTGTTGGTTCTATAGCCATGTTTAGCATGGCTTGAGCTGGGTGCATGTTACCTCTGTTAAACTTACCTACAGCTTGGGCAACTGCAGACTCCACTCTGTTTTTGCCAACAAACACGGTTTTGGGGCAATGAACCCAGATTAGATTATTTAGGGATTCATTAGCATTACTTGTTTTTCCATGGGCCATTTTTTTAAGCAAATTTTCATCGGTCATTCTTTTATAAATAGGCACAAGGGCTTGGGCTGATTTGTAAGACAAGTAGGTGGAATTTTTCCCTTCATGTGGTGGGGGTTCCTCCCCTTTGGCTATTGCTTTGTTATAAAAACACCATGAGTCCTCACCCATGGGGCACCTGCTGTGATGTGGGCCATCATCAGTAGACATGGAGTGGAACAAAGTGGCCCATATGGCATTCTTCATGGCAGGGAGATCACTGAGATTACTTAGAATAGCACCCCTATAGTAATTTTGTAGTTTCTGGCATTTAACTATTGTGAGAGCTCCTGGTGCTCTGCCTCCTAGACACGCTTCTTTAGACATTTCCCGCAGAGCAGTGCCCATTCTCTTAGGTGCATGATTCACACACTCCAGTTTTGATATGGTCACGTCTCCATAGGGATTGGCATGGCAAACTGCTGAATAGGCCACAGAATCTCCATCTGACAGCATTTCAATATATCTCAAACCAAACTGCAGAGGTCTTTTCCATATCCAAAGAGCTGCCTCTTTCTCCATGGCCTTAGAAGAGTCTCCAAAATTCTTTTGGTGCTCTGCCTCCTAGACACGCTTCTTTAGACATTTCCCGCAGAGCAGTGCCCATTCTCTTAGGTGCATGATTCACACACTCCAGTTTTGATATGGTCACGTCTCCATAGGGGTTGGCATGGCAAACTGCTGAATAGGCCACAGAATCTCCATCTGACAGCATTTCAGTATATCTCAAACCAAACTGCAGAGATCTTTTCCATATCCGAAGAGCTGCCTCTTTCTCCATGGCCTTAGAAGAGTCTCCAAAATTCTTCGAGCACTGGTCATCTTCTACATGCTCTTCCATCCATTCATCAAACTGCTGTTGGGTTATTACCTTTGTTTTCAATTTATTTTCACTAATGGCACATGCATGACAGTACTTTGAGAGCACTTCATAATCGATTACATATCCTGTGAGGACATCACAGGGCTAGACACTAACTTTTATGACCACCTGTCCTTCGGACAGGTGGTCATATATTTGACCTGTCCGAATTTTTATCCAAGCTGTCCAAAATAATAATTTTAAAAAATCCCATTTATAACTCTCGGTGAACTTTTGTATAAAGGCCAATAATGAATACATCTTTACAAGCCAAAAACTGGAGTGTATTTAATTTACAGAATGTAAATGAAGAAATAAAACTAGCTTAACTCAATGACAAAAAATACTTTTTATACCATATATGAATTGTTGGTTTCTGTAACAAATAACTTCAGAAATTATTGTGACAGCATTTATTTATAAAACATCATAGTTCTTTATTTCCTTACTCAGGCAACTATGAACATAGTTAAATTGAAAAGGGAGGCAGCAGGGATAACCACAAAAAATTGAAGTTCTGGCACAGCCAACATTGAACAGTCTAAAATGAAAAAGCAATGACGATCATGAGGCTCATGCCACCTCATTTCCCACTGACTCAGGCATAACATATTATTAACATCTTGAATAATAACAGTTTACAAAACAAACTAACAGCACTGCAAGCATAGTGTAAAAAGTGGAATCTAATGAATGAGAAAAAGTCCAGTCATTCTATTAAAAAAATTTACATTCTATTTACAATTAACAACACAGTCATTGAATCACTAAAAGTGTACAATATATTTGGACTTAATTAAGATCAATCTAAATGTCTGTTACTTTGTTAGATACATGGATCACAGTAACACATAACTGGCCTTAACAATTATACATCATCATGTCTGAGGAAATTTACTGTCCAGCTAGTTGTAGATGGTTATGCTGAAGGAAAAAGTTGAGAAGTTGGTCCTCCCCATCCTGATCACCAGGTGCAACGTGATCAGCAGCAGCTTCAAACTGTGGTCTCCTGGTTCTCTGTCCCCTAGTCCACCAGAGGTGAACAGCCCTCTCGGCATCATAATCCTCCAGACTAGGACCCTCAATGGAAATGGCCAAAAGATGATTCAGCATTTGAGTGGACAAAGAAGAGCGCCAATCTGACTTAATCCGCTTCACAGCAGAAAAACCTCTCTCACAGATTGCTGATGATACTGGCAGAGTGAGACATATATCAACAAGGATGAGTAGGTGGCTAAACCTGTCACGATCTTGGAAGAGATCTTGTATAGTAGGCCGCTGGATCCTATTTGCTATCAGCCTGTGGCCTAGATGAGCCTTCGCCTCCAGCCATTGAGGTCTAAGCTGGTCTCTGTTACAATGCAGACGATCCAGCACTTGAGCAAAATGGACAGACAATGATTCAATATTGTTATTTCCATATGTGGCCAAGTCAACCCTGGTGTTAGGCCAGTCACGAGTGTCAAACACCCGAGCAAGACATAATATATTGTCTTTGTTATCTAGCCTGCCATTTATCCGCTCCTGGACTGAATCAATCACGTCTCCAAAATTATACAGCTGCTGAACATCAACATGTGTGAGCTTTGCTCCCCTGTAAAAGTGGTCTCCTTCATCATTGGCAACAACTGCATTCTGGAATGCACTGAAATGCTGCCCAGGACCCTGACCAAGCTCAACCAGTTGCAGATTTGCTGCTTCCAAGGCATCCAAAAAATCCAGGCATGTCATAGAGCTCTGTTGAAACTTTAAACTCAGGCCACTGACTATCTCCAACAAATCTTGAAAAAAAGCCATAAATCGAATCACACGCCAATCCTTCAGTTTCTTGGCTAGGTAAGTGGCTCGTCCCTTTACTTCTGCTGTGGTCTGACCAGGGGCTGCTTGGGAAACATGCTCAAAATGAGCCAATATGGGTCCATACCCATTCATGAGAGCCTTTGATGCTTGCATGATGTGTGGAAGCCACCGTGTTCCTTGCAGTCTGGTTGGTTTTATAATACGCTCCTCCATCATATCTGCAATTTGACCCAACTCCCTCAAGGCCTTGGGACTATAGTGATAGTGCTTGTGCAGGAGCTTAAACATCTCCTCCAGAGTTTGGAGCATGGGATTGTTCTTTATTGCCTGCAGTGCACCCAACTCTAGACGGTGTGCAACACAATGGGTGTTCACGACATATGGCCTGCCATTCTGAAGTCTGGTACGTACACTATTATTGGCACCTACATTTACAGAGGCTCCATCTGATCCAGTGCCCACTAGTTTCTGAAGCCAGTCATCACATCCAAACTGCCTCATGGCTCTATCCAAGGCCTGGACAACCCCTTCACTGTGAGCATGCTGTAGGTCCTGAAGCCCAACAAAGTACTCCTTTGGCCTGCCGTCAACCACAATTCTACAATACACTATTTCCACTTCAGCAACACTAGTATCCGTTGCTCCGTCGAATATTATTGACAGGGCTTTGGCTTCACTGAGGGCTTTTTGTATAGGCTCATTTACTGCTGCAGCTATGAAGCTAGTAAAGCTGAAATGAAAAAAATAATAAGTAATAATAATAATTTTGTTTTAAATTCAATGAAATATCGATTCCAGTAAACTACCTAAAAACAAGCACTTATGAATTTAAACAAAGATATGTGAAAAAAAATATACATTTTAAAGACAATCTACACACACTAGTCTATAAAAATAAATAATAAAACAATCTAGTCTCACATAAAACCAATTACCAGGGTACAATTAACATAATAAAATTTGATAAAATTTTATAATAATATTATGAAAAAGTCAAGATTATTTGGACAAATATGCTCACACTGACAAACTGTGCAATAATGAGTAATTATTTTAAATAAAATCCAAAGCAGCATTGTGTTATGATTTGTTAATCTAATATGGATACTAAAGCAAAAATTATGATACAATACTAAATTGATGACTTAAGTTAATTAATCAGTGATACACACCGAGCACAGGCTTTATCGGACTGGTAGGAGATGAGCTGATCCAAATCTGACCCATTCTTAATTTGTAATTTGAGGAGGTTGGGAAAGGTGGTAAATGGCATTTCATTTACCACAACACAGTAAGCTGTGTTGAACAGCTTCTTTACGAGGCTGTAGTGATGCTCTCCAAGTTTGTTTACAATTTGATCTAGAGGACCAGCACAACGACCAGCTTCAATCCTCTTCTGCACTGCAGCAGCCTTCACACAACGCATGTGTGTTTGAGATGAAAAATGTCCACAAAGGCTTTCCACTCTACAAAAAAAAAAAAAAAAAAAAAAAAAATCACATCAATAATTATTTTGTTTTTGATTAATTTTTTTTTGTTCAGTGTTCACCCTGTTTGAACTAAGTTTGATTATTTATGTTACTGAGCAGGGTTGTGTTTTTGCTTATTTATAACCATGGATAACAAAGGTAGACTTAAACAATTATTCAACTGTCCTGTTTTTACTTTTCAGCTCAGATTTTCTAACATTCATTCACATAACTGAATTCAATAAGATCGATTTCAACATGTCTCAACATTTCATGTTTATTCATTAATTATGTCATGTGAATTTGCAAAAGACTACTCTTACTGACACTGTTATAATTCACCGTTTTTTAAAAAAAAATATTTTACCTGTAAGATTTGCATCCAGTGACCATCACAGTGTCACCAGCTAGGGCAGGGAACTGCCTACAGAAAGTACACACCATCCCCCGATCTGTATTCACCAATCCTGGGAATTTCATCGGCCATGTGGAAACCCACCCTCTAACACGTTTATCTTCGTATTTCTTCTTCTGGTCTTGACTTTCTGTTTTCTTTTTCTTTTCTGGAACTTCAGCAGTTTCGGAAAAGAAAGAACTGATACTCGTTTGCTTTTTATAATTCATTTTAAGCCCGAAATTCGTGCGACATTTTCACTATTTTATATGCACAGTACCCTCTCAAATAAATGAACGCCAAATGTATCTAAAAAGTATCAAAAAATGAAAGTTTGTCCAGCAGGGGTGCGAGAGCGGTCAAAGTTTCCCTTACCTGTCATCGTCTTTATCTCCTCTACTGCCACGTTCTTGTAAAGCCAACCACCTGTCCCCTCTGCAGAAATACTACGATTCTTCAACTTGGCTAGCTTAACCACCGAAAATTGTAAACATCCCAAAATATCGTTTTTAATGCTCAAAAGTAACTGATGCAATGACGCAATAATGTGCACCATCTGGAAGCCATCTACTGATGTTCAAGTCCCGTGATTATGCGAGAGTTTATTCCACGCAGTAAAAAACTTCTAACGAGTTTTCTCGTGAGAAGATGTCTGTGCGTCGCGACAACCATAGAGCCAGGAGACGATGTCGATGTCAAGAAATGAAACTGGTCTGTTTTTTGTTTTAAATTTTTATTCCCAATTTCTAATGATAAAATAAATTATAACCTGTCCGTCGGACAGCCAACCCTGCAACTTTACCTGTCCGAACTGAATTTTTACCTGTCCCGGACAGGCGGACAGGCGCTAATGTCGAGCCCTGCATCAGTGCATGTTCCCACCCCATAATTAGATGTAAACCCCCTCTTATGCCAAGTGCCATCAAAACTTACCATTATATCCAGTGGGTTGTGAGGATCATGATCAGGATTAAGCTCAATGTAAGCAGATCTTACCATATCTCCCTTGCTTCTTCCAACACTCTGCTGCCCTCAGCTATATGTGACTGAGAAACTATTTTGTTTGTTTTTTGGTATGTTTTGAGATGCATATTACATACCCCAAGACACTGAGAAAATTTTTCCAGGGCTGCATAACCTGCACCGCACTCATGTACAAAGAGTACCATAAGGTCATTGATCTCAAACCCAACATTATGACTTGTAGACCCTCCTATTCTGTTAGAAGAAAATGCCTCCTTCTTGAATTGACAGGTGTGACATTTTATTTGCAAAGTATTACTGAACCCATAGCTCTGCCCACTTATGTTTACACTCAGGGTGTCAGTAGAGCACTGAGGACACAAAAATCAGACAGAAGGTCATAAGTTGAGCAATATCAATAATCGACCTGCTAATGTTTGATTGAGAATTAGCATCTGCAGTATTGCTAACACATGAGTCAAAATTACTACTACTAATGCTACTACGACAGCGAGTAATCTTCCGTCGTGATGTTCCCTCAACTGTCCCCGTTTTACTTTCATTTTGTGTATTACGTAACTCTCTAGCTGCAGCTAGTTGTTTATTCCGCCTCAGCGTAGCTTTTTTAACCTTAAGCATTGTTAAAAAACGTGAAATATTCACCATTATTCACCTTTATTGTTCTCTAAGTCGCTCACACAATAGAAATGACGCAATCGATCTCGAGGCGTTGCTAGGAACGGAAATGCCTGAAGCGGTCACGTGGCTACGCTAATCCAATCAGATTCGAAATTGACATGCATCTTTTTCCGTCAGGCGTCGGCAAGCCCGAATGAGCTAAAAGTTCACTGGAATTGACCACTTTTCGCGCGAATTCTATTTATAGCAGCCATATATGGGCATATAGGCTGGCACAACGAGTGATTGACGTCTCATGCCATACGAAATACAACTCCATTCCTACATCGATACCGGAGTTTGAGGAGCGTCAATTTGCGCTAAATTACAAGATAACCTGGTCATATTTTTTTATTTTTTTCAACCTTGTTCATAAAAATGAGCAAAAATAAGGCTCATACGCTTTCAGTTTGGTTGTTAGACTTGTTTATTCCGAAAATATACACACTTAGGAAGGTGAAAATGAAAGAATCTGAAAATTGATTTATGACTCCCAGAGACCCTATTTTTAGGCGCCCTGTCTCACGTTAATTTGAGAATGGGCAAGCCATAATATTATATCACTAGAGATTCACCAGTTTGGTTGTACTTGTAATGTGTAATATTAAACTAGATCATTTTCTGAATAGAGAAAATATAAGCACCCAAATATAAAATGAGACCACTCTAACTTGAGAATTGGCAAGTTGGGATGATACGATTCCACTGGATAATTCAGCAGTTAGCTTGTAATGAATGCAATGGACTAGTTAAAATTTGGAGGGAGTGATTAAGAAAAGAATATACATATAGTAGATTCTTCCATCAGTCCAGGAGGATTGCAGGGAGACTGTTAATGATTCCTTCATCCATGCTCAGCTTGAAACTTTCATATGACTCGTAGTTCCACAGCGGCAGCAAAATAGAGGGACCACATGTTCTGGCTTGAGGAAGTTGAGACGGAGGATCCGAGAGAAACTGCAGTGTTGGCTCGTTATTGCTACCCCATCCAATAAGTGGGACAGAGTTCAAGCCAGAAGCAAATCTCAAAATATCCTTAGGTTTCACCACCGTTTTGCCTGAAATCATAAGAGCAACAAAAATAATATTAGCATGTGAACACAGTTAAAGTTGTGGTATCAATCTATGTTATTCGTGCAATTAAATGTGGTGAGAAAAAGTAAAAATATATACCTTTGCCAACATCATCTAGATAACTGACCCAATGGTCCATAACATCTTCCTCCCGCTGTCGCTGATTGGCACCCTCATCTGTGAAAAGCGGCTGAAACATGCCTAAGATGTCATCTGATGTGAGTTCCTTGGTGGTTGGCTGAGGTACAAAGGCATCCCTCATGGAAATGGGGAAGTCTCTGATAAGATTCGCCACTCCATAATGCTGAAGTCCTCGTGAGAAATCTTCAAGCTCTGATCTACAAACAAAATACAGGATGTTTTCATAATCATTGTATTACACATTTATACAAAGCAGTAATAATTGGGGGGATTGGGTTCTTTACCTGTATAAACCAATGGCATAGAATTTTGTAAGTTGATGTACAATATTGGGCAGTTCGAGAAGGGTAACACTAGGTGGAATATGCCTGCTGCCAGTAGAAGTGAGGCTTCATCTTCCAACGTGAGCTCATCAACGTGTTGTATTGTAGCCCTCAGTTCTTCAGTGGATTTAGCAGCTTGCATCTGAAAGAAATCATATTCAACCTCATATACGGCTTTTGAAGTTATATACTTTTGGAAACTACACTGTCATTTTTATTAATAGTAAAACTATGCAACTCGGTGAGTTTGTTCATGACGTAAGCTCTCCTAGTAAGTATTTCCAAAGATCATCTACATGTACACAACGTATGGCCTGCCCCCTAGGCTGTCTAGCAAATTATAATTCATTTAATCATTAAATCATGAAATTAGTGTCTAAATTTTTATGACATTATAGCCAATAATTCCAATTAAAAAGATTAGTTATAAAGTAACATACCTACTCTATAAGATGCCTCACAGAGGTATTGGGGATGTCAGTAATCTCTGTCACCGTCTTGTCAATCCCATTACTCACATAGCTGTACATGGCTGGTGTGAAAAAGGCTGTTTAAGGTCTTCCAAAAATTAGGCACATTGCTACAGCATAGCCAGCCCAATAATATTCAGAGGATTCGAGCTTTTTGGCATTGTGTGTCAACATGTAGCTTTTGTTGTCAAGCTGCTGGAAAATCCCAGTATTTGTTGAAAACAAATCATCTACAAGACGATACATAAACTCTCGCTGTGGTCCACTATCATCCCTTGTATTCATGGAATCATAGAATTTGACTTGTATAGGGAGAGTGTCCTCGAGGTCGTCCCTGGCAACACATCTCATGAAACTTCGAAACAGCCGTATCCTACTAATTTTCAGGGTCTGTCTGTTATCCCCATCATGAATAAGCCTGCCAACATGACTTTTTACAAGATCAGCAATGGGGGCCTTTATTTCATTATTGTCAGCTCTGAAAAGAATGAAGATTGCAGTAGTAACTATCTAATGCAGATAGACTTTTGTGTTATAGTAGACCCTAGCCATTAGCGGCCAATTTCATAAAGGAGGTTTAACTTAACCTAGTTTAAGGCTAAAACCTAGTCTAACAAAACCTGGTCTAACTCGAGACCTAAATTGCATTTCACTAACAGTGTAGGAAAGCCAGAAAACCACGTTTAGCTAAACCAGTTTTAACTTGTCTTTGACCTCCTGTTGAATGTAACAGGATTACATAGACAAAGAAATCACTGAACTGTGTCAATCAGGTAGGCGTAAATGAATAGATGACACACACTAACGTTGAAGCAGATAAGCTGTGTAGCTCATATGAGAAAAAACTTTGGAAGTAAAGGGCACGTGAAAATGAGCAGAAAAAGAATTTTTCTGCTGAAGAGCACGTTGATGGCTACCTGTTGCGTAGTATCGCAGAAAGGTTAGCACCTGTAGCTCCGGTGAAATGCTGCAATTTCTCAATGTATAGGGTGCTAATCGATCCTCTATCAGTGCTATGACCTCACATGCTATTTCTTTAGAAATTCTGAACCTGATTTTGAAATCTTGTTCATCATAGAAATCAAAATAATTAACCCTTGCTCGAAAAATGCGTCGGCGATGCCAGGGGCGTCTTCTTGCGTCCAAATTGTTAAGTGCTCGAATATCACCCAAGTCTACGTCGGCCATCTTTTTTCCAAGCTACAGAGTTAAACCTGGGTCTGACCAGGTTTATTTTTAGACTTGGTCTGAGTCCATAATCCGGGTATCAAAAACTTAGACCTCAATTATGAAACACAAACCTGTCTAAACCAGGTTTAGAATGATGTTAAGCCAGGTTTTACTAGACCACTGGTTCAATACTAAAACCTCCTTTATGAAATGCAATCACGTGAATCTTGACGAGTCACGTGAATCTTGAAGCCAATTTTGCTGTCTTGAAGGTGATTTTGCCGTCTTGAACTAAAATTTTATCTTGCGCTGATATTCTGTCATTTTGAAAGAAAATTTCCGATTTGAAGCTATTTTTGAAATCTAGACGATGGAAATGTATGAATTGAGACAAAATATCTGTGTCTTGAACGTATTTTTGATGTCTTGAAGGAAATTTTCCCGTCTTCAATTTTTTCCGCTTTGGCGTGCCGTACGTCTGATTCTGATTCACTCCCATGGCTTGAAGAAATATCATCTTGAACCTTTTCAAATTTCTTTGCCCTTGCCTTGACCCTGAGATATTTTTCTTCTTCTACTTCATACTCGTCGTATGTGGCGTCAATCATACTTTCAGTGACATACACCTTTATTAGCTCTAAATGGCTGCGGGTATAACCCTTCCATGCATCGTCCAGTGCTTTGAGTATGTCTGGTACTACAGTTATATTTTCTGTTATCATGGCCTCCCTGAGGGAATTTTTTCTCTTCACCACCTGTACTAGTTTTTCATCCCTCTGATCTACTTTCTGCTGCCAATTTTCTTTTACTTTTGTGGATGCTGCAGGTTCTCTGCCACTTCTCCTTGGCACTTCTTATTCTGGTTTAGTGGCCATGTTCAGTCCAATAAATAAAGTCTAAACTGCGATGTAGTGTCCAATATCTTGACAAACACCTTAATCTTTTCTTGAGACTTTTATTGAATCACCACAATGAATAAGTTCTGAAATAGTATCAATGAAAATAATGTTAAGTATAATTACACAAATAAAGTTTAAAATAGACATGTTCTTATCTTGTTTCTTATGAGATACTTAAACATCTATGCTTTACTTTCTTTACATGACCTACATGCATGTATACTGACAGGGGTATATGATTGAATATCACTCTTATAAATTTAATTTTCATACATGCATTACAAACCTTAAAAGAACAAAATTTAACTTAAGAAATAAGCAGTAATATACATCAACTAGCAACTTACTAGACTTGTATAACCTCTTGAACTTGTAACAGTCTAAATGAACTTACAGCCTCTTACAGTACACGGACTTGTAAAACATGACATGAATAACTTTGACTGCTGACGTGGACTTTTGTCTTTTTTCTACTATCTTTATACATGTACATATGAGGTGTCGCGTGTCCTCCATGATTCTGTACGTGTCGATTCGGTAGTTTTCTTTGAAAACCTTAAACTTGTTCCTTGTCGTGAAAAACACATTCAACACGTGCATTGTAAGTCAGCCATATTTTCCTTGCGACCTTGACCCTGTTTCGTCAGCAAGATTGTTTCTGAAGGGCGCAACTAATGCAATCTACATTTAGACTTAACATACACCATATTCATGTCTGGT